GCACTACCATGCCTGACTGATTTTTGATTTATTGTAGAGATGCGGTCTCGCCAAGTTGCCCAGGTGGGTCTCGAACCCGCAGGCTCAGGCAATCCACTCACCTCAGCCTCCCAAAGGCGCGGGATTACAGGCTGAGCCACCGAGCCCGGCTAAATTCTTTTTTTTTTTAAGTTAAAAAAAAAAATTTGAGTTGGGGTCTCACTCTATCTTCCAGGCGGGAATGCAGTGGCATGATCATGGCTCACCGCAGTTTCAACCTCCTGGGCTCAGGTGATACTTAGCGCAGGCTATCCTCCCGCCTCAGCCTCTGGAGTAGCTGGGACTACAGATGCATGTCACCACACCCAGCTAATTTTTTTTTTTTTTTTGTCAGAATCTCACTCTGCAGCTCAGGCTGGAGTGCTTGGCATGATCATGGCCACAGCAGTCTTGACCTACTGGGCTCAGGCAACCCTTCCAGTTAGCCTTTTTTTTTTCATAGAGACGAGGTCTTGCCATATTGCCCAGAGTGGTCTTGAACCCTAGGCTCCAGGGATCCTCCTGTCTCAGCCTCCCAAAGTGCTGAGATTAACAGGAGTGAGCCACCGTGGCCAGCAGATATTTGTTAAATTCTTTTTTCTTTTTTAGAGTTGGAGTCTCACTCTGTCACCCAGGCTGGAGCACAGTGGCACACTCCCGGCCACCGCAGCCTCGATCTGCTGGGCTCAGATGATCCTTCCACCTCAACCTTCCAAGTAGCTGGAACATCAGGCGCATGCCACCATGTCCGGCCTATTTTTTTATTTATTGTAGAGGTGAGGTCTCACCAAGTTGCCTAGGCTGGTCTCGAACTCGTGAGCTCAGGCAATCCTCTCGCCTTAGCCTCCCAAAGTGCTAGGATAACAGGCTTAAGCCACTGCGCCCGGCTAGATATTTGTTAAATTCTAACGACAGCTGCAGCTTTTCAGGGCTGGAGTAGCTTTTACAGCTTTTACCCGTTCCTGATATTAAATTTATGTGGGCAGTTTCAATTCCATACAGCTCCACAACCACAGCTTCATGATATACCCTGCAAATACACCCCTACTCAGTCCCGCACTTATGATCTCCCCCATGCAGACTTAGACAAGGTCAGGACTGAGGGCGCCTGAGTTCGCGGGTTCGTTACCCACCTGGGCAACTTGGTGAGACCTCATCTCTACAATAAATCAAAAAATTAGCCGGGCGTGGTAGCGCGCCTGCAGTTCCAGCTACTTGGAAGGCTGAGGCGGAAGGATCGCCGGAGCCCAGCAGGTCGCGGCTGCGGTGGCTGGGAGCATGCCACTGCACTCCAGTCTGGATGACCGAGTGAGACTCCAACTCAAAAAAAAAATAAAATAAAACACTGAGGGTACACAGCGCTCAGCAGGTGGCGCTATTTTCCCAGGACCGAAAGTTCCTGGACCAGGAGCTCCATAGACTTATTTCAGCCCCTGCGCAGCCAGGCTGGAAGCATCGAGAATGCACCAAAGGCCCTTCTGTTGGGTGCACCTTGGGCCCCACCTGGGAGACCACTGCAAACCAAGGAAGCAAGGGATGGCCTGAGGTTAGGCTGAAAACTCCCCTCAAGTCTTTTCCCAAGTCCTGCTGAAGAGCTCAAAGTGTGCCTGTA